TCACACTCACACTTACACACACTAACGTTTCATGCTTTTGTCACTAGGGAGAGTGGGAGGAGTCAGTGGACCAGCCTGTGTGTCTGCTGAGACATCATCTAATTAGCAGAGAGCCAACGCCTAACCCCTTATGAACAGCTGGACATATATGTGTGTGTGTATTTTGTTCTTGCAGCTTATCCAATTGGAGGCTCATAACTTACTGACTTGAGGTTATACTATGAGGTGTGTGCATGAGCACGTGTGTGGCTCAGTGTGTGTAAAGGCCAGAGTATTTGACTGGGGTTAGAGATTAACCATCATGGACAGATTAACCCCATACTACCCAGAATGACCCACTTCACCGAGTGTATGCACACACGCGCACACACACACACAGTTAGCAGCAGATGTGGTCTTTGTTGTGTCTGATCTGCATGACCTTCACGTGATCTGTGTTATGCTGAAGTATTCTGTATTATCTTAGACACTGACACTGATAAGGAGCATCTTTGCTTTGGTTGGGCTGAAGGATTATGATTAAATGGGATGTTTCTGACTAATATTATGAAAGCAGGTTAGATTGTAATTGTTTTCCATAAATCAGTCTGTAAGTCTGTATCAGTGGACAACACACTGTCCAACATCTATCAAGCGCAACTACAAACTTATCTCAATTTATACATGAACAGATAAAAATCCCCTACAGTGCTATGATGTGCAGCTTGATATTTACAATATTAACTTCCTCAAAAATGAATAACACACACACACAGTGTACAGGGACACACTATCAAATTATATCAAAACACCAACAACTAAATGTTGTTCCAGACTCTAGGCTTAAGTTTATATAATCCAGAAAAGCTTTCCATATTGTATCAAAGGTTTCTAGAAAGCTTTATATTAGTATGTAGTTTTCCTAAGCTTATCATAACTCAGTACTCCCTAAATCCATCCTTTAAATTTAAACGGTAAAGCATGTTTCCATTTAAAGATAAGGTGCCATGCCAGTAAACTCACAAATGCAAAGACCCTCTTAAGTGTGAAAGGACAATTAGTATTACACTTTAATGATTATTCTATTAAAGATAGATCTGTCTTAAAAGATAGATTATAGGTGGTGTAACACTTGGATAGCTGTGTGCAGTTACTTTCCATAACTGGATTACTTCTAGATTGTGTACTGACAGTTGTATTGTACTGTCGTACATAGGGTTGCAGCGATGTACCGGTTGAGACGGTTATCGTACTGTGAAAATCTCATGCCACTGCAACCCTAGTCATGCACTTTAGATGGGTAAGAAATTAGAGCAGCCAGATGTAATAAAACAATACTGTGTACTCCACATGTCGTATTACAGAGATTGCTATGAAATTGTCTTCATAAAAGACAAGTGTTGGCAGGGACAGATGGCAATATTTTTAAGCGCTGGCCCCACAGGCCACCAAGTCCCTAAATTTGGTGACCAAAGTACATTTCTGATGGCCCAAATGTTAAAAGTAAAAAGGAAAGTCAATTTAACACAACTTAACAAAGCCTTCCTTGACTGTGACATGTTATTACATGACAAGGCATCAACAGAATTATAATACATACTGTAACTACTTATTTAAACTGAAGACTCAAGTTCTTTGCAAACATTTGGTTTATTTGTATTTTCTTGCAGTCTCTTAGTTCACACTTTATCTTTTTTACATAAATACCTACTTTCAACTGTTTCAATGCAGATTTGTTTTTTTAAAGTCCACCTTCTGTGTCTCTTGTTTTTCTGTAAAGATCACAGTGACAGTTGGATTAGGCATCATGAACGCATACTTCAGTTGTCCAAACATATTGGGAGCTAGCAGGTGTTTCAGTTTAACAACGGACAGTGTTAACCGTTGAACTTCAACCAAATGCCTCTGTTGTTTCTTGTAGCAGCATTAATGGTTGGTGTAGATACTAGCGCAGATGAGTGTTGTGTAAAATTGATAAAAGAAAAATTTAAGGCTTTTACAAGGACACCTGCATGTTCTGTTTCCAACAGCTGCCATCACTACGAGTGACCATAATGCATTTGTCTGAGAGTCACCACTTAACACAGTCAATTGTTAAACTGAAACACTGGCTACAAGTGCTGTTTGTTGTTTTTGTAGAATGTTGAAGTACAAAGTGTGACTGAATCAAGCTGTTTGTGGATGTTTTTTTCAGTTTATTTAACCTTTACTTAGGCAGACAATTGAGACACACAGTCTCATTCTCAAGAGAGGCCTGATAAAACTTGGTGGCCGCAGGGGGCCACTAACAGGGATGTTTGGTGGACACAGAGTAACTTTTTGTGGCCACGGGTTATTGAGCCATGGTTAATGTTGAACCCTGGTTGGCAATTGGGTCGTGTGTGTGTGTGTGTGTGTGTGTGTGTGTGTGTGTGTACTGTCTTTATGTTTGTGCCATGTGTGCTGATGCCAGGCACATGATGTAATGTGACCCTTCTCTCAAAGCTAATCACAGCTCCTTGGTTAGAGGCATAAATCTTCGGTGCATGTGTGTGTGCACAAACACAGTGTGTCTTTTTATAAATCAGAGATAAGGAGCTCAGATGCAGTTGATTTGGCTGAGGTGCAGTCATATCCTGCTGACACACACATACACACTTCCTCTGAGCTCTAACCCCACACAGTGATGTGAGTGTATTGCGTGCATGTAGTAAGCTACTTTAATACTGAAACCCTTTCTGGATTAAATACACTTTTGCTGCCATCTAGGAAATCCCTCATTCTTTTTTGGTCTGCTAATATTACACAGCCAAAAAGCTATTTGATTTTTCCTCCAGAATGATGCTGATTTTTCTGAGCTTTCATACCACGAATAAAGGCATTAACCAATCATGCTGTGCAGAATGGATGACATGTCACTTCGTCATGACACTGGTGGACCTTGCTGATTGTTTGTTTTTCTCAGCGCCCTAGATTATATGACAAATTGTTATAGAATTATTATTACAAATTATATGACATCCTAAAATATGTCCAGAGCTGGCTGTTGTAGTACTTCAGCTTCTGTATTAGACAGTGGAAATCTCCTTCTCTACCTTGTAAAATGGGATGTACCTAAAATGTTCTCCTCTTTTACCCAGTGAGGAGCAGGAGGACAATGTCGTCATCACCGCATGGTGTTGAATCCATTACTTTTTCTAACCTTTTACTAAACAACTGTTGGAACTGTCACAAACTTGCATTGCTGCCGGTACAAATAGTTTCGATGCAAAATATTCACAGTTGAGTATTTTGCATTTTGTGCTGTTTTTTTCTGTTTTTTTGTGCATTTATTCGTCATGCCCTAGTGCGTACAGGCCTTTAGTCAGACATGTAAGCCATTCAGTGCTCCATCTGCTGATGTGGGGAAACTACAGGCTGACAGTTTGGTTACACTTCCCCCAAATCTTCTTTTAAGAGAAAGAGAGAGCAACCCTCATTTTATGGCACATGAGGATAAAGTCACCCGGTATACCCACGCAACATCTCTCTTAATCATCTTAAAAGATAAACCTAGCCAGCCACCAACACTGTTAGGCATTGATGTTTTTGTTGAATTTAGGTGATGGCGTCTGGTTACAAAAGAAATTAAGCTGCTGCTGCTGCTGCTGCTGCTAGGTGTGAGCTTCACTTCAGGGAAAGTTGTGAGAGTACACCTAGCCACATACACACAGTGATGGGGCTAACTGTTAGCATCACACAGGTTTAACAACAGAGTCGTCGTCAGTGTGAGTTTGTTGGGACAGTTCAACATCTCAGTGTTGGACGTTAACTGTGCTGCTGCGGCAGTGTAGTTTGTGCTTAATGGACAGACACTGAACTGACCGTTCACTGGGATGATAGCAGCTCTGGAGGTGGCTGTAACAGAAAGTCTGCTGGTCTGACAGGGAAATGGTACAGTATGAGATCAGACCGCAGGCGCAAAAAGGATCAATGCAGGTATCATTTGACTGGAGATGTGTAGATACTACTTGGTACAGAGTTATTTCAGGTATTGAGTACCGATACTCTGCCCTAGCTGTAGCTGCAAAATGTTTGGCCAAAATGTGACTCAGACATTATGCTTATCATTATGCTGCTGGAAGTTTCTGAGGATACTTTTTCCCACTGTAAAAACATGCAGTATCAGCATTCACTGTAGTGTAACTGTTGTGAATCTAAGCATTCCTTTATAAAGGGAGCAAGCCACAAACTTATAGGAAACAAAAATATGTGATGTGTAACTCAAAAACACTGGGAATCAGTTAGTGTTTTACAGAAAATCCAACTGAAAACTGAAAAAAGAAAACTGGTTTGAAATGACTCAAACATCAAACAAAAAAGAAAAGAAAAAACAACATCTTCTACCAAAGTAACTAAATGCTTCACACTGAGCACGACACTTGTTCCCAATGATCTCATCATACTGTGTAACTTCCTGCTAGTATTGATTGCTGCAGATTATTGGTTGCCATGCAAGAAAACTACAGAATGATCGTCTAGCAAGTTCAAAGTTGATCTACACTGTTGGAAACTATCATCAGTACGGCACATAAGTGACACACACGTGTGTTGTTTGTTTCTGCAGGGCCTGTTCCTATTCTTAACACCCAAGCTGAAATGCACAGATCAGAAGACACACACATGACAATCAAATAGCCGAAAGACAAGATAAACACACAGTGAACACACATACACTTGCAGCCCCCAGGCAAAGTAAATCAACTGAGGATACAGTAATGGCTGTACCTCCAAACAGAAAGACAGAGACTCAAACTGAGCAGTAGTTCAGTAATATCAGTTCAATTAAAACAAACAATACATCAAACCAAACATAATACATCATCCACAAATGGCAGAATATGGAGCTATTGATTAGCAGATAATATGTTAATTCCACTTTAAGATTTTTTTTTGCATGGGTGAAAAGAAAAGACAATGTGGAGTGCTGCTTGTCTGCTGTACTGCAGTTTGAGCCATGCATGTTGCCCTAGCACACCACCAGCAGCATGTGTGTTAATTACCTGGTAGTACGTCCTGATGTGTCTGGTGAGAACGTTCAGGTTGTGAAGACGAAGCGACATATCATTGTTCACATTCTTGTTCAGCCTTTGATTGGTTGGGCTGGGGTCACTATGGAGACACACACACACAGCAAAGGAGCGCTTAGATTGACGTTACTTGTTGGTACTTAAGACAAAGATCTTATTACACCCAGAGACTCACACACACATCCCAAGTGCAGGGTCACTATTGTGCTGGAGAGAAATTTATACTCACATGAACACACTGCAGCCTGTGCCAGACTGATCTGCATGTGAACAGAGGGTGTGTAACGCTGTCTGGCTGACCTACTATGGCTGTCATGACGTCAGTTTGATGCCTAATGGAAACTATTCTCAACATACAGAGGGTAGAAAATAGACTGTCACTTTGCTTGGCCTAGCACTGAGATAGGGTCTTTACCATCAAAGCCCCTGATTAACAAGTCAATTATAGATGTACAAATGAAATCCCAATATTACTACAAATTTTGGCCCCTGCTAAGAGTTTATGTTGAGACAGGTCTGAAGAATAACAGACTGAGACTGCACTTGATTTCCTCTCTTCCTCTTTAATTTGGCTGTACCAAATGTCAAAGCGTCTACTGAGATTTTCAAATGAAGCTTCAAATGTCTGACATCCTATTTTGTGATGTCATCAACCTAAAAAAATGTGTAAATCCTTGGACAAATTCCTAAATTTGAATGAGTGATTCATTGCACTTTTAGGCTTACAGCTACATTCTCCTACAACAGATATGGCAACAAAATAAATCAGAACATTTCAAACTAAAGTGTCTGCATTTTTATTTTATTCAAAATCTGAACAGTCTGGTGCAGACATTCATGGACACTCAAATGAGTTAAGAACTGGGCTGTAACCTGCTAAACTGCCCTACGTGTCATACTTAGTTTGAGGCAAGCAGGAGGGCCATTTTTGACCGCAGTGAAAATGTTTGTGAAAGGCCTCCACCCACAAATATGGACTGAAGCAGAATATTTCATTAGATTAAAAACCTGTTGTGAATTTTGGAAATGATTTTAGTAAATTTTGACTTTTGGACTCTGCAACACTCTGGAGTTATTGGCCAGGTTGGATCAGGACTTGGAAATGTACACATCTGGAACGGATACAGAATCTAATTCTACAAGTAGTACAACATAAACAACACTAGAGAAAGCAATTTCTGAAGAAAATGCTGTGTGAATGCTGGATGTTGAAAAGCTGTTGCACAATTAAGCCACCTTGTGGTTCTGGATAAAAGGTACGATCGCAGCATGAGGAGACAGCGATGTCTGAGCCAGAAACAGAGGTCATAACACCACTGAAAGGGCCTCTAAATAAACGGGACAGCCAGCAGAACAGGATCCCGGGTGGCATGGATGTGATGTTTTGACAATGTGTTATGCCTGCAACCCATTGAGGGAGATTTAAAAAGTAGCTAATAGCAGTTAGCAGCTAATTCAAAGAAGAAGAACAGCAGCCAAAAATGTCTGCAAGTTGGAAAGCAACAAGGTCTTTACCCTCCGAGCTGAGGATGAGATCAGCCGCCATGTGTCAGAGACTGAAAATGATTGGTATTGCCATGTTATGCAATTGTTAATGTTTATAAAACCCTGGAGCGGCATGACCCCACCGTTGTTTGGTTCTATGTAAAAATGCAAAGGCATCACAAAGAAGGGACTTCATAGCAGCTCTGTTGCGCAATCTTTGTATGAAAAGAACTAATATGGATGTCATTGAAAAGTTGAATAATACTTATAATGCATGAAAGATGAGGGATAGTTTAAGTTTTTTGGAAAAGCTGACACCAAACTGAAATGCTGAAACTTCAGCGATTACAACTGACATCTTCTAATTTCTTTCATCAATTAAACTTCCAACTACACTTCCCGCTCAACTAATCACTTCCAAAATTATACTTCTTTGTGCACTTTAACTTGAACTTCACTCTGAACTTACATTCAAATTGAAGTGAGAGAAAAACTCTCAACTCTTTTAACCTCCCCAGTTTTACACATACTATGATACATAATGTACTCCAATTGCTTTCAGTGCTTTCACTTCAGCCAAAACTTCGACTAACATCTTTTTTCATGATATACACTTCAAGTGGCACTGATTTCTTTTATGATTTCCTTCCATCTCAATTTATCACTTACACTTTTACAACTGTAACTCCTGTCAGCCCTTTAACTCCAAATGATAGTTCTTCCAGCACGTCCATTTTAAATGTCACTCAACTCCTCACAGTAACTATATTTTGACCAACTTGAGCCTATTTCAGTGTGTCAACTTTTTCTAATGTTTCAACAGCAGATAATTGGCAACAAGCTTGCTAAATGTTCTTCAAGAAATGTCTATCTAGTTTAATTCCAGTCAACAAGTCAATCATCACAGCCAAATAAAGATGACTATATTAAATGGCAGTTTTTTTGAAAATTTTGCCCAACTCATAATTAATTTTTCAAAGGTCAGACAGAATAGACTGACTGATGTAACAGCTGACTGGTTCTTTGACTCACTGATTTACCAACGGTCTGTGAGTGGCTTTCCTGTAATAATCCCTATGGCTCCTCCATCCTGGCCTCCTCCTCTGTAACCCACTTTCCCATAAACCCCTACCAAGTCCTAATCACCCCCCCAGTTAGCCCAGCCTACATTCAGTGTTTAGAGAACAATAGCATGAATACCATTGTTTCTGAAGACAATAACTAACATATGAACATGTGGTCTGATTGGGGACAGTGGGTCGTCTGGACAGGAGAGGATTTAGATTCCACACAAGTATGTATGTTTCATTATCATCACTGTGAACAGTATTAGTGTCTTGTAGTCCACATGCTGTCTGTCCAATCCACAAAGAATTAAAGGATAAGCCTTACAATATTCTTTATCTTTCATTGTCAAGAAGTCCAATGAAAAGACCACAAACCATCAGTGACAGTTCCTTTAATGGCCACTTGAGGCTGGTTCCAGTTCCAGTAACCCAATCTTCACAGACCCTTTTGATAAAACTTCAAAGCCGAAATAAACATCTTTACAGCCTGGAACAAAAATGATTTTGGTCTCTTAACCTAATTTCCCCATTCATGAAAACTCTAGGCAATTTTATTTCCCTAGGATGGCGAAAGCATGAACTGCTGTACTTTGTCTTGCTCTCTCCCCCTGACTGACTAGTACTCGTTGCCTTTGATGCTTTGGTTGTTTAGAGTTAAGCAAGAGGAGAGAGAGATTGGTTAGAGTAAAAATATCAGAGTAAGCCAATCAGAGGCAGAGTAAGACAGACTAGGACGGGGCAGGCCTTCTACAGCCTAGGAAAAAAAAACTTTCTAACAGTATGGGGGTGAAATTTTACATAACTCAACGATTGAAATGTTATTAGTTATTAAGTTATTAAGTTGTACCTTAAAGTACAACTTCGGTATTTTTCATCCTGGGCTCTATTTCCCCACGTGTATGTGTGCATATGATTCATGGGTACCACTCGTTCTAAAATTGGTTCAGTATTGAGCCGCGAAACGAGCTAAAATGGTAACAGGGGCAAATGTGTCCCGTATAAAAGTGCTTTTTTTCACCACTGACCGGTTCAGATCGGCAGTGTTATCTCTGTAAATAGCATATTGTAGCGGCCCTGGGGCAGTGGTGACTGTGAATGAGTGGAGTCAGCTGTCAGTCAGTGTTGGAGCAGAAAGGCGGAAGGCGTCCCCGCTTGGTAATGAAAATGAAAAACGGTAACACTCCAGAGGGTAGCACGTAAAAGACTCCGTCCTCTGACTCTTCTAGCGTAACACATACTTCACACACACATACTCATTTACATTACCAAGCGGGGATGCCTTCCGCCTTTCTGCTCCAACATTGACTGACAGCTGACTCCACTCATTCACACTCACCACTGCCCCAGGGCCGCTACAATATGCTATTTACAGAGATAACACTGCCGATCTGAACCGGTCAGTGGCGAAAAAAAGCACTTTTATACGGGAGACATTTGCCCCTGTTACCGTTTTAGCTCGTTACGCGGCTCAATACTGAACCAATTTTAGAATGAGTGGTACCTATGAATCATATGCATACATACAGTACAGGCCAAAAGTTTGGACACACCTTCTCATTCAATGCGTTTTCTTTATTTTCATGACTATTTACATTGTAGATTCTTACTGAAGGCATCAAAACTATGAATGAACACATGTGGAATTATGTACTTAACAAAAAAAGGTGAAATAACTGAAAACATGTTTTATATTCTAGTTTCTTCAAAATAGCCACCCTTTGCTCTGATTACTGCTTTGCACAATAGCCCTTACACAGCCTGGAGGTGTGTTTGGGGTCATTGTCCTGTTGAAAAATAAATGATTGTCCAACTAAACGCAAACCGGATGGGATGGCATGTCGCTGCAGGATGCTGTGGTAGCCATGCTGGTTCAGTGTGCCTTCAATTTTGAATAAATCCCCAACAGTGTCACCAGCAAAACACCCCCACACCATCACACCTCCTCCTCCATGCTTCACAGTGGGAACCAGGCATGTGGAATCCATCCGTTCACCTTTTCTGCGTCTCACAAAGACACGGCGGTTGGAACCAAAGATCTCAAATTTGGACTCATCAGACCAAAGCACAGATTTCCACTGGTCTAATGTCCATTCCTTGTGTTTCTTGGCCCAAACAAATCTCTTCTGCTTGTTGCCTCTCCTTAGCAGTGGTTTCCTAGCAGCTATTTGACCATGAAGGCCTGATTCGCGCAGTCTCCTCTTAACAGTTGTTCTAGAGATGGGTCTGCTGCTAGAACTCTGTGTGGCATTCATCTGGTCTCTGATCTGAGCTGCTGTTAACTTGCGATTTCTGAGGCTGGTGACTCGGATGAACTTATCCTCAGAAGCAGAGGTGACTCTTGGTCTTCCTTTCCTGGGTCGGTCCTCGTGTGCCAGTTTCGTTGTAGCGCTTGATGGTTTTTGCGACTCCACTTGGGGACACATTTAAAGTTTTTGCAATTTTCCGGACTGACTGACCTTCATTTCTTAAAGTAATGATGGCCACTCGTTTTTCTTTAGTTAGCTGATTGGTTCTTGCCATAATATGAATTTTAACAGTTGTCCAATAGGGCTGTCGGCTGTGTATTAACCTGACTTCTGCACAACACAACTGATGGTCCCAACCCCATTGATAAAGCAAGAAATTCCACTAATTAACCCTGATAAGGCACACCTGTGAAGTGGAAACCATTTCAGGTGACTACCTCTTGAAGCTCATGGAGAGAATGCCAAGAGTGTGCAAAGCAGTAATCAGAGCAAAGGGTGGCTATTTTGAAGAAACTAGAATATAAAACATGTTTTCAGTTATTTCACCTTTTTTTGTTAAGTACATAACTCCACATGTGTTCATTCATAGTTTTGATGCCTTCAGTGAGAATCTACAATGTAAATAGTCATGAAAATAAAGAAAACGCATTGAATGAGAAGGTGTGTCCAAACTTTTGGCCTGTACTGTACACATGGGGAAATAGAGCCCAGGTTGAAAAATACCGAAGTTGTCCTTTAAACTGATATGGGGCTGCTGAGTTGAGGTGATATAGTACACTGCAAGTGCCACCAGAGGTCAGTCTCTTCTGGTGGAAAAGGCAGCAGATTTAGAAATATAGTGACTTCAAGTGGTGGGGATAACATTATAGGTCTAGTAATTAGTTCAGCTAGTGGGCATACATGAGGGGAGAGACAGAACATGGGGAGAAAATGAAGAATGAGTGATGATAAAAAAATGTTATCATGTATCGACGTATATCAGAGCTCCGTTACATGGACAGCTACCAATTATAAATCTGTCATTGTTACATTACTTGGAAGGTCAATTTCAGGAGAATTACTCTGATAGTTTCATTACACACAGCAAGGGTCTAGAAAATTTGATTGTGAAATTCCATGACTTTTTCAGGTTTTCCATGACTGTGGGAACACAGCTGCAGCTGGCGTTAGAGTTAGCTCCAATCTCTCGTCAAAATATCGTCTTTTAATTACTTTGGCTCCAAACCTCCAAGATTGCGACAGTCTAAAGGTTAAACTTGAGGCTTCAAAACGGGAGTCCACAAACCAATGGGTGATGTCACACTGGCTACATCCATTACTTACATTGAGTCTATGGTGTGTATCCAAAGCCTGATATATCTTCTACCTCTGTGCTATAGAGCTCCACAGTTGTCCAAACCTGAATGCATGTCAGTGAGCCACACCATTGCAGAAAGTGACAGGTTTCTTAATTATCTTTAGTTGTGCATGTTTTGTTGGCATAAGAACGGTCATTTACAAAAACTGGATACTGTCACAACATACTCATAGTATAACAGGTATCATTCTTAGAAAAGCCTTATCAAACCATGTTGTGTTGCATCACCTTCACAGTTGTGACTGATTCTCTCTGTGCATTGCCAGCTTTTTTTCTTCTATGTGAAGATATAGGTGGTAAATATCCATCACCTGAACCTGCTGAGAGTTATTGCTTAACAATTTTATAATTGTTCACACCTCAGTATTAAAAGGGACTGTTAATGGTCTGATTTGTGCTCACTCTCAAACTCCACTGTATGTCTTGATGCAGACTTTAGCTGCACATCTGGCTGTGACGTTTACAACATGAAACCAGCCCGTCAGGATGTGGTCGCACACAACACACTTACACAGGAAACACTGGATTAACTCACTCACCGTTCATACACCCAGTCCAGAAGCACAAAAATACACACGAAAGAACTTTGTTCACTGACTCATACAAATAAAACTCTCACTCTGTTTGATGTCACCTACATGTGTGTCATGATCTTGTGCAGGAAGACGCCGTCCACCAGCTCCATAAACATGTTGACCCGCTCCTCTGAGCCTACGTCGTCACATGAACCCAAAGGACCCAAGGTGCGCACCTAGAAACAGAAAGAAACATCAACCACATCACACCTAGAAATATAAACCTAACACTCCTAATGTTTTTTTCTTTCAGCTTAATATGCTGGTTGGCATTCTGCTGAAACAAGTAGAATCAACTGGGTATCTTCCACAGTTAGGGTCTGTTTTTAGTATGAAATTTCCTCCTTATGCCTCCATGGATAGCGTTTCTCTGCTCAGATGCAGCAGAGGCATGATGACACAAGGACATTTGGCATTAAAATGACTGCAGCCTTAGCTTCATATTAGCTTCAGCTAAACATTAGAATGCATCTCTGCACAGAATAATAACTTTAGAATTTGCCCCCATCACTTTAAATGAAAGAGGGGGTGTCATCGTGGCCAGTGTGGGCAGCAGGAACAATTACTGTCACCAGTAACCTTTCAATGTACACATGGGTATATCAGCTACATTTAAAGACAGATTTGAAAACAATGTAAACCTTTCTTTAAAAGTTATATCGAGCACATTTAATATTTCTTTAACCTTTCTTTATTCAGAGGGGGGGTTTGCTCTCTTGTTGAGGAACGCCCTGCACACACAGTGACACAGCTGGAAGCTGCCCAGTATAACCACAGTCTGATCTGCTCCTGGCCACTGAGCAACTCCACCGGAGTAGTTGGGGATTAAGGGCCTTGCTAAATGTGAGCGCTACTCTTTCATTTTCTCCACCCAGACATACCCTAAAATCAGGTTTCAGATATCCTATCGGCAACATTCTGGTCATGAACCCCATTTCTCTAACCTTGGATGTGCAAATAAAGGAAAAAAAAAGAGAATGAGAAACAGCTTGTGACTTTCCATGCGTCAGCTTCTGCAGCGTGGCTGTGTTAAATGTGTTTGTCTGTGTCTGACATACATGAGAAAAAGTGTTGGTTGATCGGCCAGGTCAACACGATGGGGTCACAGCCAAACAGGAAGTACCGCAGAGGTAATAACCTATTGACTGCTTTGAGGGTTGTCATAGTCTGGGCTGGAAGCCCATATTGGCCAGCAGGAAGATTAAAGTGGGTCCCAAACAAACCTTTAACACACTGATATCTATAACAAAATCTACTGAGGAATTAAAGTATCTAATGTACATTTTTTTTTTCCATTTTTTACTTCTGTTTCTTAATTCTGGATTTAGTTTCCATTACTTTTAACCATTTACTTGCTCAGTCTCTGCTTAAAGCTTTGCTACATAAGTGAAATCAGCTGCAGCACTTTTTGCTCCATAGAGATAGTGACTCTTTTGGACATGCAAAACAGCTAAACCCACTCAAACAGAGAGAATGTTTGGGCTGACAAGGGGAAATTCTTTCGTACATCAGTAAATTAAAAATGGCAAAAGTCGATGAAGAGGTAAAGAAACAGCACTAACTGAGGAACAGCAGCTGCAACCAGTGAAGCAGAGGAAACTGAGAATTCACTTTTTCTCCCTGACAGTTGAAATGAGATCTAAACTGGGAAAGCCCCAGAGAGACCAGCCAATGTCTCTCAATGAATGATTTAGGGACTGTTTGTCACTTATGTGAGGGGAGGAGAGTGGTGAAAAAAGAGGGAGGTATGTCAAATAATTTTTTAAGCTCGAGGGGGGACTTTTATTTTGACTTAGAGGAGGATGCAACTGGAAATTGTTGTAATCTGTATTTCTGTTACCATTTATTTTTAAAGAAAACATAGTGGGTATGGAAGGCATGTTTTCTTCAAAAATTGCCGAATTACACCTTTTAAAATAGCCAGAAACTGTAAAAACAGAAATTATCATTGGATTTTTTTCCAAATCTGAGCTTAAATTAGTGATATATTTTTATCAAAATCACTTTATTCCACATTTCTCATTCAAATTTTGCCAAAAGTAGCCCATCTGCATGAAGTAACCAGCATGCATTTTTTTTCTCTTAACTTTTAAGCATCAATTGATAAGTTTCTAAAATCTCATAACTAATTAATGGTTGGTGGAGGATCATGCGATTTCCCAAGTCACTCAGGGAGACTCGAGAAAAATATTTGTAGCTTCGGAAAAATAAAAAATAAAATAAAATGAAGTCACACCCCATGCACCCCCTCATCGGATACATAGAGAACAGTCCCTTAACCATGGGCTTTTACATTGAAACTCTTAACCCTGTCGCTGTAATGTAACAGTCTGAACTGTGTCAATAAATGGGTTAAAAGTGTAGGAGAGCAAAGTATTGCAGATGGTGCTTTAGAGGTCAATGTTGTTTGTTTAGACAGTTTAAACTGGTTGGTCAGGTAGTTCTCACAAACAAATGTATCCAAAGTGAGAGAAACAGAGAAAGTCAAACAGAGATAGGTCAGCAACTCGTGTGCATCACCGCACAGCCGTGTGCGCGCGTGCTGCTCCCACTCACCCACACCACCAGCGGTGACTCCATGAAAGTGGCCAGTAACTCGGACAGAGTCACGTCCATGGTTCCGAGTCCGTTTATCAGTCACCAACCGATCATAAATCCACCGGTCAATCAGTCGATATCCGCAGCAGGCTCGCGGTGGGTCACCACACAGGACAGAACAAAGCCCCCGCGCGGCATCGATCCCCCCCTGCACGAGCTCTCTCTCACACGACTATTGTCTCGCGCTGCCCCGTTTCCCTAAACAGTAGGTTTCCAATGGAAAGCGTTAAATATGAATAAAACTGTTAGAAACACTTCCACAAACGCTCTCATGCAGCACAGAGTCAGTTCCGTTAGTTTAGCGGGTAAATATCCAGTTTGTTTTCCGGCTGAAGGTGGAACACTTGATCCAAACTTCGCAGGACAGTTGTTCGCGTTGCCAAGGATACACGACTCTGACCGTAAAGCGGCAAAACCGCCGTGAAATAAGAAAGAAAAGTTAACAAAGTAGAGAAAAGTCAAGTGCACGATGGAGGGAAACTAAGAACATTAAAATAGTTGTTTCCGTTGTCTGTTACATCTCCACCACGTCTCTCTCCTCTTCTTCTCTCCATCAACCTGACTGAGCGGCGGCCACTGAGACAGGGGAGGATTGACTGACAGCAGTACCGACCAATCCGCTACTTCAAGAAGCGTGCTCCCCGCCCTTTGCGATAAATCAGCCAATTACAGTGCAGTAATTTGGTAGCATTTTCTCTGAGTCTGACGTCACCATCAGACAGACTCAGTCAGCCAAAGACCAAAGACGGAACAAGATAGTGAACGTCCGAGAGTTGTTTCCTAAATAATAATTTAAAAATACCTTTTTCGGTACTTCTGAATTAGTAGGGTTTTGTAAGTTAGGTACAAGTAGTGAGTGTAAGTAAGTGATGTTATAATAATTATTATTTTCTCAAAGCAGATTACAATAGATAACAATAACAAACCATTGCTGTATATATGATATTAGTGACAACATATTGGATGAGAATGTACACTGACTTAATGTACTACCATATTGATAGCTGCTTATCCCTTGTTAGTTCTATTCCTGTGTTAGCTAGGTAGCAAAATTGCAGTTTTATCTTGTAAGGGACTGTTCTTTACTTATCAGAGGAAGGGGCGGCTGGCATGTGACTTAAATTATTTTTTTCACCCTGTCCGAAGCTACAAATATTTTTTTCTTGAGCCTCCCTGAGTGACTTAGGGAAAATGCATGAGCCTTCCTTCACCATTGATTAATTATTAGACTTTAAAAACGTGGCCTTTGATGTTTAAAAAGCCTTGGTTTTTCACTCTTGTCATGCTGCTGGTTAGTCGATGCAAATAATTTATTTTGACAAAATTTTAAAGTGATGTAGAATAAGGTGATTTTGATGAAATATTACAATTTGAAGCCCAGATTTGTTTTTCGGTTTGTTTGTTTTTCCTCGAAGTGTTTAACTCACATAATGTGTTTGATGACCGTTGGAAATTTGAAAGTCAAATGAGAATTTCTGTTTTTACAGTTTCTGGCTATGATAAATGGTGTTATTGTTAAAGAAAACATGCCTTTTAAATTCAAAAATGAAATAAATACAAAAAACAGCCGTTTATAGTTTTATGCCCCTCCCCAAAGCCAAAATAAAAAACACAAGTTCCTCCCCAGACCTTAAAAATCTATGCCTCCCCCTTTTTGCACCACCCCTCCCATAGATAACAAACTGTCCCTAAAGCAACTATTTTACCATCTATTGTTGCTTTTCCTTACCTCACAGACAAATATATTTGTATATTTTTTTGTATATTCTACTTTCTTGTCTAATTTTTGAGTATATGTCAATACTAGTACATTGAGAGCAAAGTCTACCGAAGTCAGATTCCTTGTATGTACACATGAACTTGGCCGATAAAGCTGATTCTGATGGAACTGACAAAACACAGCAACAGTTAGCTTACCTGATATGTGGTTTGTTCCATAACTAATGTGCTACTATCATATAAACGTCAACATATTTAATTAATCATACTCATTGTGCTCAGTCATGCACAACAAATCCTTTTCACAGCAGACATTTGTTTGTTATGACATTAAAATCATAGGCATAACTAAACATTAATATGTTTAATTTAAGTGTCCCAGTAAGCCAACATGCCCACATGCCCACAAGCCCACAGCAGGGCCCTAGAACTCAGACATCTAAATGGAATGCAGCCTTCATTTTGAAAAACATGTTGCACCTGTGCTTTTCTTGTTGTGAAAGGTCAACATTTCTGCTGTGAAAAAGTCTGTCTGTACCATTTTAGTGGCAAGAAAGTCAAACTTAAAGAAAAAGTTTTGCACAGGATAATTTAGAAAACTTTCACATTTACTTTTGTCTATTGATAAGAACTGACGACAAAATGAATGTTTATATGTAGCTGTCAGATTTTTGTTATCCAACATCATAATTGCTTTGATAAATATCAAAATATTTGACCATATGAGTGTGAAAAAATAAAGAGATACATGACCAAACATCAAAGTATCCCCAGCTACTTGGCCCAAATACACAAGCTTTGCACCCTGCCCATGGTATGGATGCCTTCCTTACTTATCTTGGGGTAAGAGGAATGGGGGATTCACAATTAAGATATGGATTTATCTATAATATATGATTGACTTTTCTACGTGTTGCTTGTGGATGAGACAAGATGGAATCTGACTGTCGATCAGATAGCAATTTACATGGCGTTCTGTGTCATACCAACATTACAGGAGTCTGTGATGTCTGTGACTGACTTGGAAAAAACAAACACACACACAAAACAAAGACAAAAAAGAGAGTAATAGCGCTGAAAAAGTCAAACATATTGAACCCAACCCACCTGTTTTACACAGGTTGTAGACTCCCCGTAAACTGTAACACTGTGAGTTTTTCCTTTAAACTAACAGAGACAAAGGTTGGGGGTGAACCTCTTGCTGTGCATTGATAATCTCTGACTGCTCCTCAAACAGGTTAAAAAGGAAACCAAAGATCAACTCAGATCAAAAGGACACAAAGGCCACATGCAAAGGAGCAGAAACCGATGACTGTAAAATTCAGTGTGACACTTGTACGTGTTACAACCCGGCTGTTAGGCTGCAACCAGTAGTGGAGCGGAGGGGTCGTCACATACTTTATACTAAGTCATAAAGTTTTCACAAAGGCTACTAGTTGTAAAGTGAAACATGTAGTAAACATGTTCCTCAGGCCCACTCTGAGCTTACTGACCTTTAGAGAGGAATTTAATGTGAAAGTGGGGTGAGATATTTAGATGCTGATCTCAGTGCAGTCTGACAGGTTTACATGTGGAGGAGTGAAGGGTGGATCTCTTGAAGATTACACCCAAATACAGAGTGCTTTTTACTTGGCATGATCAGACAGGAGAGAGGCAAGTTCACCAGCTTCATGTCCAGAACCAGACCAAACATGTAGCCAACGCAAGTTTCAAAATAAAAGGCACAGCTCTGTAACAAAGCTGGAAACAAAGCTCTTTTGTAAGTGAAGTGGTGGATCTTTGATTATCACACACGGCAAGAATAATCTGTAGAACAGCGCCCCTCTGTGGCTCCCTTATGTTACTACACATCCTGCAAGAAACCAGTCTGTCAGTAGGTGTATCCTGCATGTGAAACAAATAATAGAAAAACAATTGTAGCAATAGTAGTAGTAATACTTTGTAATATTTAACCTGTAACATATTTCTGACTGTAATGTTTCGGATTTCATTAAACTGTATGATGGGTTTGAAACTTAAAGGGACAGTTCACCCCCAAATCAAAAACACATATTCTTCCTCTTACCTGTAGTGCTATTTATCGATCTAGATTTTTTTGGTATGAGTTGCTGAGTACTGGACATATTGGCCATAGAAATGTCGGCATTCTCTCCAATATAATGGAACTAGATGGCACTTGGCTTGTGGCAATCAAAGATATATTTGAAACACTCAGCAACAATGTCTCTTCCCAGAAATCATGACCCGGTTACTCGAGATAATCCACAGACCTTGTTGTGAGCAAGAGGTATTTTCTTTCTACCTACACCCGTCACCCATATCACCGCGCAGAAGGAAGTGTGCATCTACTCATGGATGACAGACTAATGCTTATTACAGTGTGGGATGGAAACATTAAAGGGATAGTTCCAATTTTTTTGAAGTGGGGTTATATGGGGTACATATCCATTGACAGTATATTACATACAGTAGACGTCAGTCGGCACATCCCCAGTTTGGAGTAGCAGGCTGGAGTCCAACATGGAAGCTCAGCAACCCACTGCTGCGGGGGTGGCAGAAACAAAGCATGTTAGCCCTTCAGAGAGGTCCTGAGGTGAAATCTGTTGCTGCAGGTGTCGCTTCTCTGGGATTCTTTCAGAATACTGAAATCTCATTTAGAGGATACTTTTAAGTATTAGTATGTGACTGATGAAATCACAGTGGTTTTCCTGTATACAGACTTTATTGTCTATAAATTCTTGGGCTGTATTTAAAAAAACATGAATTTATTTTTATTTCTGAATCAACAAGAAATAAAGCATTCACCTGGATGGCAGGTTAAATTAAAGGGTTTTGATAGGAAAGTGACAACAAAAGAAAATTTAAAATAAAGCTCGCATTCAAGGCCAGAAGATAAGAACCATGTTTGTAGCTTAAACTAAACTTTAACTAAACTTCACAGTCCTTCATTTATACACAATAAAACGTGTGCCAATAAGTCAATCTGCAGGAGAATAAATATTTGAAAACGGGACAGAATGCCTGAGAGTCTTACTACATTATATTCTATTTTTATTTTGTTTTGTCACATGCCACCTGAATTTTGTTTTCCTTTACATAAATAAATACATTTCCACCATAAATTGATGCAGAAAAATTCACTAGAACACAGGACATGAAGTGTTCGAGGCTCAAAAGTTCCTGGGAGAGGACCCCCAAATCCCCCCACTTAATATGTGTCCCTCAGAATTTTTAAACAAAATGAGTGGGTACTAAATCAAATATGGAAGTAAGCAAAATTTGTTACTGTATATAGCTTTATTATTTAAAGTTATAATTATGCTTGAGCACCTGCACCTGAAAATGACTGTGCATGGGACTGGTCAACAGTCTTACAGTCTCATATTGTGATGCAGTTGATTTCATTTCTGAGTGTCCACACCTTACAGGCTCACAGGACAACCAATCACATCTGTTAGAAGAATGTGCCATACCTTGCAAAGGGGTCACCCACACCACCTCACTAAGGTCAAAGTTTCTGTCCCTTACTTGCTCAGATTTGCTCTGAGAACTTTTCTAAATCACTCCTAAGCTAGGACTCCTTAGTAAAAAAAAAACATTAGGATAAGTTAGGAGCTCTTGGAGAGTATACTCAGAATGTTTACGAATACGGCCCCAGGTCTGCTTTTGAAAAATTGGTACTTGAGAAAACCTTAACAGGAAACTTCAACCCCCAAATGACCAATTGTCTATCAATTACTCACCCTGTGTTGTGTTCAGTTCATGAAAGAAAACATTGTTTTTCTCACATGCCTCAACATTGAACGAAGAATCCAAAAACAGAAAACATTATTGAAGCCATTCACAAAAACTATGTCAATGTCCATTGGCAGAACCTGACACAACCCATGCAGTGTAATCCAAGTCTCTTATATCCAGTTGTACACTCAGGACTTACAAAATATACCACCGTTCATATGGGAGTGTTTTAAAACAATTGTTTTTAGCAAAAATGCATGTGTTTGGGAAGTGCTGAGCAAACAACTGGATAAATGAGACTTGGATTATAATGCATGAGTTGTGTGAGCATTTGTTAACTGATGTTTTGATATAGTTTTGCTGACCGTCACTCTAGTTCATCCCAAAAAAAAGATGTTTTTTTTTATTCTTCGTTCAGGTGGAGGCACGCTAGACAAAGAGTTTTCATCACAGACTCAACGTAACAGTGTGAGTAACTGATATACAAATTCTGGGGGTGAAGTATTCCTTTAAACGAAAAACACAAAGTCAGACATTTTCTATCAATCATCTATTTCTTTATTTATTCATTGTGAATATTCATACAAAAAGCAGATTTACTCAGGAAGAAGTGATGTCCGATAAACAACAAGTGGTGTCAATTAACTTTACATTCAATACAGTTAATTCCACTTAGCCCCACCCCCACTCCTGGACCAATGGCAGTTGAGGTGAAAGGTGAAACCTGTAATCCTAATGGTGCATTCTGGACTTCATAAATCTATTTTCAATATATCAAATATATAAATGCTCTACCCAGTGATAACAGTATATTTTGTCAGATCTACTTCAGGTCATTATAATAATACTTAACTGTCTTCAAAGACAGGCACTCACACACACTCGTACACATTCATTCCCACGCAACCACACACACACTAAATATATAATAAATTCAGCATCATGTGCCGATCAGGAACCTGACTAAAAACTACAACTTTCACGTTTGTTTACCTGCTCAGCCCTCAAGGCTCAGAGGTCGATTCTACTCAAATGTGATCAGACAGGACAGAAAGGGTCGGCTGACGAGACAGTCAGAGGTCAGTCAGAAAAAAAAACAGAGTGAATAAAACAGGAAGTATCAAGTGCTGTGTTCATTATTTTAGTGTTTATTGTAATAGTGTGCATTTTAACAAGAGAGACAGTCAAAAACCAGTCAGTCAGTCAGGCAGTCAGAAGGCTGCAGCTTCAGGCCATACATCAGCAGACTTCCAGTCCAGAGGAAAGTCAGTATCTAATGCACTGCTGTGATGTGTACATACAGGACTGTGTGTGTGTGTGTTAATGAGGGTTCTTCATAGCAGTAGATGCTGTGGCTCAGTGTGGATTTAAATGAGTACTTAGTGTCTGTGTGTGTGATTTTCACATTTACTCCTCACCAGGGGCCTCATCTCTACACCAAGCCTGAGTCATTTAATAAAAAACACTTAGAAGCTTGTATACATATAAATCAAATGTTTACATGGATTCTCTGCACTGCAAAAAGTTAAGGTAATTCGACTGTCGTAACTGCAACAGTTTTAATCAGACTGGTTGAAATGATCACAGGATAAAGGCAGACAATGCTTCGCGAATGAGGCCCCGCTTTTCTGAGACAGAACAACTCTTACAATAAAACACACAAAATGAAAAGAAAGAAAGAAAAAAAAAGTATTTTCCAGGTCCATATTTTGGTCTCACTAAGAATTGTGATGATAAGAAAAAGACATATAAGTGTCACTGCTGGATACAAACACTATGGACCAGTTAGGCACGATGTAAGATCACTTAGTTGAGGGTTTTCTCCCTTTAAGAACATACAATGCACAAAAGTTTAGATTGCATGTGTGTGTCATTACCAGTGCCAACAGGTGAATACATTCTAAAAGATGCTGAGTATCTAGTTTCTGCAGTACAACAGAGTATTAGGGTCAATGTTAAGAAAAACACTAACCTGAGATTCTGAGAAAAAAGTCACAATGTTATGAGAATAAAGTTACAATTACAAGAAGTTGTAATGTTTCAACAATAAATTTGTGATTTTACTGGAAAAATCTAACAGATATAAAGTCATAATTTTTACGAAGAAAATACAACGTTGTATATTATAATTAAAGTTGTAGAATTACAAAAAAGTCAGAATTCAAAAAACGAGATTTTACAGAAAAGAGTCATAAAATGACAAGAATAAAGTTGTAAGGACAGAGTTGTGCTTTTTTGAGATACAGTCCTAATTGTACTAGAAATACAGTCATATTTTGAGAAGTAATATCAAGAGAAAAAGGTTACTTTGAGAACAAAATGTTCCATGTTATGAATAGAGTAACAGAATTAAGATAAAGATTTACAAGAAAGAGTCCTAATATTATGGGATAATACTGTAATTTTAAAACTAATTCTAATATCTTTCGAACTGAAGTTGTAGAATTACAAGATCTTATTTTCATAGTCAGCCATAGCAAACAGATGAGGGCAGTCTTTTGTGTCAAATGAGGGAATGTGACCTGAAGTTACAGGTTCCACCAGTAAGCACATTAATATCACAGCTTGCAGGATATTGAAATGAACTGAAACTAGTTACATAAAGTGTAAGTCATGAAACTGGATGTGCTGGAGGTAGCTGCTGGAGTTGGGACTCTTCCTCCAGACAGCTACGCCGAAGTGTTCTCAGCATCAGAGAAGAATATAGTCCAGTAGGCTTTGTGATGAAAAGCAGACACAATCAACTGTCAGAGTAGTGTGGTGTGTACTGAGTGAAGATTAATATTCTGCTCATGACTAAACTCATTCTGATAGAGGTGCTGATGCCTCTCATAGAAAAGAGACAGATAAATTAGGACCGCCAGGACACACTAAAACATGCATGTGCAATCTAATCTATGCAAACTAATAATATCATTTTGTTAAAAAAAAACAAAACAAAAAAAAACAACCTTTTTTTCAAGTGAAATCACAACTTAATCCCTAATTTTATTTTGGAATTTTTCAAGTAAATTTACAACTTAATTTGATTACATTAAGAGTTGTCTTTTACAATTTATTCTCACTATAGTCTGACTTTCTTGTGAACAAATTTTTTCATAATGTTATTATTTGCAGGTTAATTGGTGAGTATACTTTGCCTATAGGTGTGAATATGAGCGTGAATGGTTGTCTGTCTCTATGTGTCAGCACTCGCCCAATGTCAGCTCCAGCTCCCCCATGACCCTTATCACGATAAGTGACTAATGAATGAAAATGAATGAATGTTCTAATTTTCCTCATTAAATTACATTATCTTTATAGTTTTTTCCATAAAATCATGAATTTATCTTATAATATTATGACTTTTTCAACTACAACGACAACTTTATGTTGTAAAGGTACACAATGCAGGGGTTGTTTGTTACGGTTTGTAAACAGGTGGAACTCTTTTTTTCCTCAGCAGCAGTTTGGGGAGTTTTGAGTCAAGGGTGGATAACTGACCATTCCATTCCATCAGAGCTGATCAGATCAGATCAATAGATAAGAGGAGCAGTTGCTTGTTAGTGAAAGCAAACCTCTAGACCCTGCACAATGGTTAAGTTTCACTTTCACTGTGCTTGTGTTCTGCTGCTACGTCTGTGCCCAAGCTCTGCTCTGTGAGTGTGGCGTAATGAGTAACTGAATGGTAGGCTATATATATTCCAACAGCACACCTAATGAACCATCCAGCTCCAAATACAGAGGATTACTTTTGTTTGAATCTCTATCGTTTTGAGGAAAACCCTGCATATTGTACCTTTAATATTGTGATGTTTTCCCATAAAAAGTCAGCTTTATATCACAACATTGCAACTCACAAAATCTCATGTCGGTTTTCTCCAAACAGTAACCCTTATAGTTGGTTGTAACTCTCGCACAGTTATTTCAGGTTCCAGTTGGTTGAGTCTCTATAGATGTGTACTCCACTGTCGCTCTATGATTGGTATGTGAATGTGTGTGTGTGTTCAACGCAGCCAGGAGCAGGGCACCCACTGGGGTTCAGTGTCCAGTTTGTTGATGAGTCGTAGCAGCTCGTTGTAGGCTTTGTCCTGGTCCGTGTTGACGATGACAGCGTCGAACAGGTGACCGCAGCTCTGCTCCATCTCCCGCGCTTTCTCAATGATGTCCCGCAGCTCCTCGGGCTATGCAACACAGACACACACACACACACACACACACACACATACACACACACACACACAGATATTACTGAGGCAAACATAAAGATGTTAACACCACTGACATTTATCTTTGACCAAATGTAAACAGACAGTGTAGACAGTAAGACAGGAACCTTGGGGTTCTTGTTGTCTTTAGCCAACAGGGCTCGGAGTCTTTCCTGGGAGGGCGGAGCTATGAAGACGATGTAAGGCTTTAAGTCTGAACTCCTCAGCACCTTTAGAGCCTGTGAACACACACACACAAAATACATAAGGATTCAACATAACCTTAACCAACATTCTGCTCAGTCAGTGTGTGTGTGAGTACCAACCTGTGTGTGCAGACAGAGCACACAGATTTTTCCAGTGTTGATGACCTGTCTCACTGAGTCTGTACTTGTCCCGTACAGGTTCTTCTCAAACTCGCCAGACTCGATCAGCTTTCCTGGGAAAAACACACAGGGAGGTGTTGATGTAGAATCATTTCGTCAGACTATGACAAGTGCAGATCCAAGACATCCAAGTATTCCTTTACAAAGTTATACAACATTTACAGCATTGGGTGTGTTAGTAATTACTTGTTGTGACATTTGATTTCTCCTTCCCGTCTGAAAATTACACTTAAACCTTTGAACCTTGGCTGTTTCTCTCACTCACTGTGGTTACAGGCTTATGATACTGTCACTACATGTCTTAGAAAGGCACACCATTATTGTATTTTTTCCAGGCTTGAAATTGTTTATCAAAAGAATTAGTCTTTCAGTCTGTCTCTTTATTATATTCTGCTTCTTTTTGCTGCTCCCTGATTATATTGCTTTGTGTTTTTATACGGTTTCATTATTTTTTTGCCCTGTGTACAGTTTACTTAATATACTGGTCTGTGTTTCTTTCTACCCATACGTACTTTTATATTGCTTTGTGTGTTTTTCTACTGTCTGCAGTATCCCTTCCCTGCTGTAATGCTGCAAATTTCCCCAATGTGGGACAAATAAAGGATTATCTTATCTTAAAATAAGACAATATAGAATTGTGTGGGTTCTTTTACCTATATGTGGACACTTATGGACACTGAAGAAATCCTCTAAGTGTCATTACAATGTTATGAGGCGAGGAATGAATTGAGGTTATACGGGCGGACAGTGATAGTTCTGTAAATACTATATAGATTGGCGAATTTACAAAAGGATTGCACGGCTTTTATGGCAGCTAAAACCTGCACAAATAACACAAAAAGAAACCCTGTAATTCTCACACAACTGCAAAGGGTGAAATGCACCAATATCTGCACTGCCAAGCCAATAGTGTCTCTGTACTTGTGTGCTATTTGCACCTATTTAAATATGAAAACATTTGGGGCAAAATTGGCCCCTTTCATTTACTTGTCTGTCTGGTAAAATTATTTAGTGTTAATTTAATAAACATTTCATTTGTAAAGAAACTTAATCCTGTGTTTTGTGTGTGTGTAAATATTGAGTCACTGTACACTAGGTCAAGAACCTAATCCGTAGCAGCCCTGAGATAATGAGACTCATTTCATTCATCTTGAAGTTTTCCCTGTTTTTCCAGCATTGGGTGGCACCGTGGGAATGAGAGGCGAATCGTTTCAAATCAATTGAAGATTAGAAGCTGTTATTTAATAAACTAATTGAATAATTGTCTCTGATGGCTGAAGTTGAGTGCCCTCACTCTCCATATTTGGTCTTCTTTTATGTGTTTTTGATACATTATTTTGAGTTATTAGTTACTGTTGCATATTTTGATATTAAGTACAGATTAATTGTTAAATCTGCTACAAGCATTCTGCCACATCAGTGACAAAGAACAAGCAAAGTGTGACACTGACTGAAGAATGTCATGTCAAATGATCCATTTCTATATGTCAGAATATTCACTAACATGAAACGTTACCTGCTGCCAATTCTGCCTCAAAGGTCTGACGAGACACAAAGTGGTAATCTCGACCACTCAGCTCACCATCTCGACGGCTCCGCGTGGTGTCTACAACACACAAAAGCACACACACACACACGTTAGTAGATCCACAAACACATAAAGCATGTGTACAGTGTCTGTGTGTGTGTGTGTGTGTGTGTGTGTCTTACGGGGTACAGCTCCAGCAAACCGTTCTTGTTGACTGTTGAGCAGTCTCTGTCGAAGCTCTGCCTGCCCGCAGCTGGTTGGACCAATCAGAGCGATCGGCCGCTTCCTATTGGCTGGTTGGTGGTATAGAGCCATCTCCTCATAGGTGAGAATCTCCTCATTATCAATATCTGGGCAAATGGAAAGAAACAACCAAATCAAAGTTACAAGGCCCAAAAGATAATCTGTAATGGTGTGTTCACACAGAGAGCAGATCAAATGTTTGCGTTGCATTACTCAAGTATATATGAATGCTGGAGAGTTTGTGGAGTATTTTGCGGCTGGGGATTATTCAGCTGTGCTAATGCTTGTACTAATGCACTGGGGAAAGCAGCTAACTCGGTTTGCAGTAAAGTACAAACAAGTGCTGGAATCAAATGATGTAAACACAGAGGCTCAGTGCTCTGAAACCGTGTGAACAAAGACAGCAACACACTTAATTATTTTTCATAATGTCACGTTTGTTTATCAACACTTTGCCCCTTACATTGTTTACTTTCCCCAATGAAAGACCAACTTACATTATTGAGAGCATTTTGCTAAGAGGCAACTCAACAAAACAGCTTATACAAGTCACAAATACACATCTTCAGAACCTACCAGTTAGTGCTATGGCTTTGTTTACTTGTCTCTAAGCTCTTTCCTTTTTTGTTCTGTCTCTGTACATTACTGATGTAGAGTGGTAACACTCTGGGTGGCTACAGATGACGACTTTGTTTGTTCATTGTTCGTTCTGATTCTCTATAACGTCAAGAGAATCTCAACACGGATAGGCTTTTATGACACAGTGTCGCGCAAATTTCTCGCTCAAATTTCAACTTGCGAAATGATGCAAAGATGCAAATACCACAAATTAGTGTCTATTTGCATCTTTGCATCGACTTACAATGTAATCTCACTGCAAGAAACACTCGTATCGTGTTCGGTGTGAACACACCATGAGAAGACGTCACTATTTGACAGGTCACTATTTGCAAGACTACAGCTAGATTCCTTTTGAGATTATTTCCCATCCTACTCCTGGTGGAGCTGGAAAATGACAAATATGACAAATTCCTTACATGTCCGCAAAAATGTATAACTCTAGAAACACAACATAAAAGGCATTGTATGTCGACAGTATTTTTGTTAATTGAGCATCAATATAATCCATAAAGATTTTGGATTTTGCGCCTCAACTCGCTGCCATCCTCTATTGGTTAGCTGCGATATTTTAGTGGTAGGAGACTGTGGGAATAAGAGGCGTATCGTTTCAAAAATTCAGATTTTTCTTAAAATAAGTGCTGGTTGGTGGATCAGACACACAGATATAAACACAGACTCTTGTTCCCTCCACAACTCCACTAGTTTCTCCTCCATTTCCACAAAACAAGAGAACTGAGACTAGTTTACATTCTTGTTCAGAAAAATATGTTGTCCATTAAAATAAAAAAAACATGATACCCATTCATGCCTAATTCAGTCTATTTTCTTCAGTCTTTTTTGTCACAGTTGCTCATCCATGAATACACTGTCATGCAGATGTGTGACTACGTAGCACAAGTTTATATGCACATGAAAGTTGTGTCACAGTTACATTTGATTCAAGTTTGGTGAGAGTCAGAGAAAGACAGGAAGTCATACCATCATTCCTGTGAGCATTGTACAGCAGCTTCTTTCTCTTCCTTTTGTTCTTCTTTGCGCACCACAGCTTCCCTGTTAACAAACACACAATTTAAAACACACTTTGGACCTACAAGGCTTATTGCATTGACTGGAACATGTCTTTTTACTACATCTATTATTATTTATTTTGGCATGAGAAATGCAGTTACAGTGGAAATGGAAAACTGGACACTTAAAACTCCCTCAACTGAACAAGATATTTCCTGCAGTCCCTTAAGACATCAAATAAATTATAATACAAACTACATACTGCACGTTATTTATACTATAAACAATGCACAGTATTCTATACTCAAACTATAACCTTAAACTGGCTATAGTGTAGAGAGTAGAGCAACTGACCTGACTTCTCAGGCTCCTTGTCTTCTTCTATGGTCTGTTTCATTGCTTCTCTCTGCTGCTGGAAACTCTTCCCTGGGAGAAAAAGAGTATATGACAAAAAAATAAACAGCAATCACATCATGCAATAGAGTGAACACAGGTTCATGTGGAGGAGAGTCAAATCTTATGCATTTGCCTCTAAGACTTCAACTGAGCAGTATTCAAATGCTCTCTCAAAAACACTCAACACAAAGACACAGACAGAAATACCTGGTACCAGTCCAGCTAAGGGCTGGTTGTCCTCATCTCCATCCCTGTAGGCCTGCCACCAGTTGGGGTCTGACTGGCTGATAATGTGGAGAATATCTCCTTTCTGGAAAGACAAGCCCAGCTCTCTGCACGGCACATAGGGGTCATCTGATGGGTCATAGTCAAAATGTGCCTTCACGTGAACCTGGAGGAGAGAAAGAAGAGAAACACCAGTGACGTGGAGAGACACAGACAGGTTTATGAGACTGGGTTTGGATCCAGTTTACATTTCCAACAGCAAATATTTAAAAATTTTCCAACCTCATTTCTGTCAACAGTTTTTGATCTGTTGTTTGACAGAATTTTTGTTCAACCTCACGCCGTCAGATGTTGACAACTCAGCACTCACCACAGATTCTTTGACAGGAGGAGGTTTGCTCTGAGTGCTGGGAATAAGCACAAAGGTCAGGAGGCCGTGCATGTCCGCCTGGCAGAGACAGGGCCAAAGAAAAGCATGTGTTATTTATCAGTTTTGTCAGACTGTCCTTTTGTTCTACAAATTATCATCTTGACACAAATCAAGAATCAGTGGGATGGAAGAACAATGTGGATGTTGGAGCGTAAAATGTCTACATAACATTTAGAAAGCTTAAAAATGTATGTGAACATTTATATTTGTTAACTGTAGTATAATAACTAAAACTAAAATTCTTATTTATTACATTAATCACTCTCTGTTACCAGTGATGGTAGGGCTGTCATGGTTTGTGTATTTGTGCTGAACTGTCACAGTATGGTCACGGTCCTGTGCACGCAGCATACACAGTATGCAGATTGATGCACATAATGTGGAGTCTCCAAAACAGTTCTGCCTGGACACTTAGCTGTACGCCAATGGCAACAGGTGGTTAGAGAAACAAGCTGACTGGCATGTGAGTCAGTCACACTATGGTGAGCGCAAATGAAACGGCAAGTTTCCGGTCAACTTCAACTGCACCGGAGAGAGAGATGTGTAGAAGACAATGACGGTGTGTCAGCTTTGCTCCACCACTGTAGGCGATGTGAATGTAAACACATCAAGCATGCTAACACACATTCAACAGCATCACCCAGATGCACCAATCATCAGGAAGAGGGAAAAAAAACAAAAAAACAACTGGATTCCAACTCCCTCTCACTGCTGCTTTAAAGCAAATTATTGACGCAAAAGCAGGAAAGGACAAAACAATTACAAGTTCTCTTTTTCATTATTTTATTTGTTTTATATTTCCAGTTTCATAGCATAAGAGATGCTTTTCAGTTTTATAGCCCATTGTGACCCTTTGCCTTTTGGGAAAGTGTTAATGCAGTGTTATACAGAGTAGAGCTCTGAAACTCTGCCTGAGCTTCACTGGGTCCGACCTGACCGCTGGATTTGTGCAAGGTGACTTGGTTGGTGTTTGCTTCTGCCTCTCTAGCAGTGGTAGAGATGTGTGTAACATGCAGCAAAAAGCAGAGCATCACTTACACACTGCATCGCCATGGACCACCGTGTGCACTAGACGCACTGAGGGCCACAGCCAGCCCTGCCGAAAAATGTTGTGCACAAGACGACAGACGATTGAAATGAGGAAAAGAGGGAGAAGCGGTGCAAGGTAGCGTGTTGGCCCTTAGCTTGTAATAAATGCTTTAATTTAAAAATATATAGTATAATACATAAAATGCAATATTTTTATAATATAATATAGCACATATATATTTTTACAGTAGAAATTTGGGTTTTTAATCAACCTTAGGCCCAAAATTGTTGCTGTGGTTCGGGCTCGGGTCGGGCTTGGACAGAAACTGTGTGGGTTCACGCAGGGTCAGCACTGAGTTTTTGGGCCCAATCAGAGCTCTTACACAGGAGCATTTGAAATGTTCCTTATTTTTATAATGAAAATAGTTTATCAAAGTCACCAGTGGGCAAAATGCGGCAGGAGGATTGCGTATGTTTTTGACACATGCATTACGGTCTCTTTAAAATAAATGAAAACAAATGGATGTATCCCTATTGGTTTTTCCTCTGTACAGAACTCGCACCATACTGTGACTCCTGTGTGCAGTTACACCCCTAAGTGATTGTGTCTCTCAGAAATGTAAAGAAATGTGTTTACTGTGTGCATGTGGATATACTCACAAGAATATCAAAGACTTGGTTGACATCTTTCCCTCTGATCTCTATGCCATTTATCTCCAGTATTTCATCTCCTTCTGATAAAAGTCCACTCCTTTCAGCTGCTCCACCCCGAACAATACGACTGATGATAACACTGTCCATTTCATTTCTGACAGTTGCCCCCTACGGAACACACACACAGTGGAATAATGGACATGCATGGACATGACTGCAGGCCTGTGTTACTTACAGTATGTTATATACAGTATATTGGCCCCAGGGAAGAAAGAGCTGGTACTTTGCTGGAGATAATCAGAGATTTTAATAAAAAAAATGATCTACAGACACATTCATTACAAAGCACTTATCCTAAAGGAAAGCCTACAATGCTTTACAGAGAGCAAAGAAAAAAGCACGTTATATTTAAAGGAGGGCAGATAATGTATTTGTCTGAGTTATCTTCAGTTAGACTACTGCTGATATTTCCCACATCCTGTGAGTCTCAGCCACTTAGGCTAATTGGTGTTTTACCTTTTGTTAAAATAACAAGGTGTTCCCATTCTGCTAGCCAGTAGTAGATGCCCATTTAGAAATATGAACAGACTCACAGTGGATTAATGGAGGGTGTTGTTTATTAATCTCTCCATAATCTATACCAATTTATCCAGTGCAGGGTAACAGATGGGCCAGAGCTGATTCCAGCTCAAACTGGACATCCCAGGACTGCTATATATGGACATATTACCATTCACACATTCACATGTACAGTAAAGGTAATTTAGAGTCCTTGGTCATAACTTGAGTGTGGGAGGAAAACCAAGCAGGCAGTGGGAAGACATGCAGTCTCCACAGACAGAACCCCCCCCCCCCCATCCGTCTGCCAGTAATTACACTGAGTGATTAAATCTAGCGGAATAAAAGCTAAACTGAGTATGTAGCAGGATGTCAGTGCTCTGTACAAGAGCCTTCTCATTGATTTTGAGTGAACATCAGTCTTACAAGTGGTATGTCTTGGGCTTTCTCTATGCGAACTATCTTGACAGTCTCTCCTCCCCACTGGGTCAGTGTTTCTCCTTGGGCGGGCAGCGACTCAGGCTGCATTTCCATTTCTGCTATGCTGTCATGGGCCAGGAGCAGTGACTGCAAAACACACATACACACGCATGCACAGACACAGACACACACACACACACACACACACACACACACACACACACACACACACAACTCAGCAAAAGGATTGGAGCAATGACAATCACTACAGGATTCTTTTGTTCATTTGCTAATACATCTTTGTGTGTGTGTGTGTGTGTGTGTGTGTGTGTGTGTGTGTCTACCTGGATGTGTGTGTCTGACAGTAGGCTGTAGAGTTCGAGTCCCTCTTTGTTCTGACTTGACTGGATGAGATTCCTGGCCTGGATCCATGGCAACATAAGACATCATTGGCATCATCACCAGAAGGATTAGCATAGCAATAGTACATCATCACAGTAGCAACTGCAGATATTTCTGAACATAGCGCAGTCATTTTGCAATAAGTTATTATATGCCTCATTATATAGCACTGCCCAAAGCAAAATTCCCACAAAATAATTATGGGCTCATCTAAAGCTGGGCTCAGGTTCCAAGGAACTGAGTTTCCTTTTCATTACAGTCGAAGGAGTAATCTGGGGCCTCATTACGGAAACGTCCTAAATCTATCTTACCTCAGTTTAGGATGACACTTAGGATTGTTGGCATTACAGAAACTCTGACTGCATTTATCTTATCTAAGGAAAGGAATTTAGCTATAGTCCGTTCCTAACTTAGGGAATAGTTTGCAATCATGTGACTATAATGACATGATTCAGATGGAGGGCAGGAAGTAAGTTGGATACAGAGGAAAATGACTACATAAATAAGTTTGATGAACCTGCAGGCAGCAGGTATCATCAGAAATTGTGAGTTCATGTTGCATGCTACTATGTTCTACCTACTGGGTCAAGTGTTCCCAGAGGTCCAGTGAAATGCTTTTAAAAATCTGGGTCGTGACCAATTGTAGTTGCATCCAACTCCAAGTTTGACATCAGTTTACTCCACTACTGCAAACTTTCTGATCTACATCTGTTGCTGTTTCTCAGCAACACCTTTTTTCTTACTTCTCCCCTTTATGTCCTGTAATTTTCAGGACGAAAAGTGACCTTTGTTTTTTTTCCCTATTAAATTGGAGCAGCCGTACACAGTGCAAATCATAGGCATTTGTGCAGTGTTGGTAGACTTTGCCTCCAGTTGCTCGCCCTCCATCTGGACAGCGCACTGATGTATGACATCACACGCAAAGAAGCAATTTCCAAGTAACGGATCCCACATGAGGATGGCATAGAACCTCTCCTAAATTCCAAAGAACTGCCCAAAAGTGGCAGCCACACTGTTGTTAGGTCTGCATGGCAATAACAATGAAGATGGGGAACAACATGAACCCCGAAATATAATGACTGAAAGTCTACTCAAAATATTTGATGACGTTTAAAAAGAAAAAAAAAACCTAAACATCCCTAAAAGGTGGGGTTTCCAACTGTTCCGCCACTTGGTCGCCATTCTGTGTTTTCCTCCCGTCCATATACTTTAAAGTATTTAACTCTTTCAGCTGACACAGCATGAACTGTGTCTCCTCGTCTGTCCAAAAATGCATGTCTCTAAATGTAGATTTCACCATGTTGTTACCAGCTTCTATAATTCATTTAACGCTATTCGACTTCCGGGTCAAACCTGGGGCAGAAACTGTGGAGCATGCACAGAGTGTCTAGGCCAGTTTGGGTTCGATTGACTGTGTACATGCAGGAGTAATTTGACTCCCAATTGCATAATCTGGGTGTGTTAGTCCGACTTTGAGAAATTCGATTTATTACAATTTCAGTCGGACTAACATGTCAAATGTATTTTAAGTAAGACTAACACAATAAATCGATTTTCTCTAATGTAATGTAAACAAACTGAATGAAAAGTAAGAATCGTTAATATTATGGCTTGCCAATCTCGAGTAGCCTACAGGTACATTTTAACCAAAGATACAAGCATCCCCCTCCTCCTGCAACTCCAACTCCCTCCAAAAGCCTACTCCCCCCTCCTCCATTACGTCCTCATCACGTCTATGATAGACATAGGCTTTGGCAAGGTAATGTTAGATACACGAAAGAGGAGAGCGAGTGCAACACGCCAAGAGAATAGTATAGTATAGTATGGTATATAGAGAAGGTAAAGTTAATGTTTCAGAGGCTACGCTACTGTAGGCTAATGTTAGCCATTAGCAACTGGATGCTGTGTTGTCATACAACATTATATGTTATATCAGAAGTAAACTAAATATAACGTTACCTGTCCTGCACAGTCAAACGCAACCCTGGAGTTTTGAAACTCATCCAGGGTCAATGATGACTGATGAGTTTTATAATATAACGTAAACGGGGGGAAGAGATTTTTATCTCTGATGGAATTCACTTACATTTTAGTGTGCCATCAGCTTATTAATAGCATTTTAACCTAAACAAAGAAAAGCACAAAATTTCCAGAAGGGTAAGTGTCGCTTTAATATAAGAGAGGAAGTCTGAGACAGGATAGGACACAGCAAGGTAATGTAGTACTGCTTCTGTAATAGGAGGATAGGACAAACAGTAGGAATAGTTTTTGTAATGAGGCCCAAAGTCACTTGGAGGTAACATGTTGGAATAACAATGTTATGTTTTAGGTTAGATGGAGCAAAAGTTTGTTAAAGTGTGGCAGGAACCATCTATTCTCTGCATTATATATCTTCTGCTATATACTAGTACTGTCATATGAGAATGAAAAGACAAAAAGATTTGTGAAAGTTGTCCTTAATTTCAAAATTGGTCAGGATTTAAAACAGTTTCAGTCTGCAGCTAAGAGGAGAGAGGGTACAAGCTGGGCATGAACTACAGTAAGGTATTCTGAGTTCCTAAAATCGTGCTGCCCACTGTGACTATTTTTATTTTTATCATTTCTTTTCCACTTCATTATCAATGACAAAGGAACATGGTTCTGGGAGTGCAGTATGAACGCTGAAAGCTTTTCTGCTTTAAAGCCAAATGCAGGGCAGGGGGCGGAGATGCCAACATGGAGCAGAAATAATGTGCTGCTCTTTAATGAGATTCCACTGAAATGAGCCATGAATAGCTCTTACAGCTAGCCAACTCAACACTGTGGCAGAAAAATAATAGCAGCACTGATTGTACTCGCATCCTGAATGTTGGCTTTACTTGAAATGGTTACAGTCAACCTGGTGTCACCTGATAGTCACCCATAAATAATCTAACTTTACAGTTAGAGTCTCTGCTTTGTTTTACAACATTTCAGGCTGTCCAGCAGATGTGGCTTTTCCTTTTTGCTGAATGAACTCATATTTGAGCTAAAACTGAAAAATGAATCATTAATGAAACAGGCCGTTGTTCAAAAATATGATTACAATATAGAGAGTTGGCTGTAAGGAATGTGTGTATGTGTTTACATGCACATACTGTAAGCACTCATGTTTCAGCTCTAATTGATGCTGAACAGAGCTGATCTGTCTCCAACCTCGTTATTAGGGTACACACTCGCTGACCTACACCATCACTGTGTGTCTGTGTGTGTGTTAGCCATCTGTCAGATGAGAGAATAGTCAAGGCATTAAGCAAAAGACATTTTGAAATAAAATTAATGTGGATATACCTCCATGGCCAGCTGAAGTGCCTGGTGTGTGTGCGGGTATGGAGGAGAGGGTCGGTGCATGCTGTTGGCCACAGCATTATGGATCTTCAGTGCTGACTGGAAGTCAGACTAAAGGAGAAAACAGACACCAGCATGTTCTGTCACATTCCTTTCAACTGGAGGTCACACATTAAGTACATACATACATGAAGCCCTTCCACATCACTATGCCTGTATTCATTAGGGGTGAAACAATACACACATTCATGTTGAAACATTTGGTGCAAGGTACACATTACAAACCAAATTATATGGAAAACAAAACATACAGGTTGCATTGTGTAAAACATAATCTCAGTGCCACTGTGCTCAACAACACAGCCCACACGTCATAACAGGCAACATGTCTGCCCCTCCCACCCCCAAACCAAAACATTCTACTCCAATGAGACACACTGGGAGGCAGCTACACTAAGCTAGCTCGTTGTAATATGTAGAGTAACACCATTGCCAGACCAGAAATAGAACATCCTCTGATAACCTACAGATATGATGTTTGGAGCCACTTTGGTTTCACTCTGAATTATAGGAATATAGGTTACACCAGTGGGAATACTTCAAACATGTCCACTCATTTACAATGACATCACCCCAGTGTGTCAATCAGTGGAACCAAGTGAAAACAAGGTGTGACTCATGCTACAAGCTAATGTTAACCCCGCAGCATTTAGGCAGCCATTCCTGAGTGATTCTAACAGGGAAAAATAAATCACTGTGGTGTTTATAGCTGCAGATATGAGACCTTACTCTGTAGTGGAAAATGTATAGGCTTTACAAGCATGCTAAATGTAATGAGCCCTGTTACAATAATTCCTCTTGAACCCATTTCAGCCAGACCATAACTCCTGCTTTGTAAAAACAAACAAACATACAAACAAATAAAAAAGCCAGCATTATATTGGCTTTAAACGTTTTTAAAAAAAATATGTTAAAAAAGGTATTTTTTTCTGGAATTACAGAAACAGAATTGCTTCTTTTCTTTGTATCACAGTAACACTACTTTTTATATGTAGCTGTTTTTGTTCAATATGCTGTTAAAAAGACAAAAAGGGGGGGGGGTCACTAAGGTGTCGCTCAATCATTGTTCAAAGTAAAAAACGAAAAATTATAGTTTATAATTTCAGTTTTAGTAAAAAAAATAAATAAATAATCATGGAAATTTCTTTGGCATTTATACTTTTTTTTACTGTATTGTAAATTAACTGTTAAACCCAAAGTCTTTATTTACACTTTTTAAAAGTGAAATCAAAGTGCAAATGTCTATACTTTTCTTCCTGTGCATCACTGATTGATGAAACAAGTGTTTCAGTTTATATGCTATTCATGAAGCTTTTCCATTAGCTTTTCTAGGAAAAACTTGTTTTGATCATTGACAGTTATTTGAGAAATGACAGAAGGACGGGGATACTACGATGAGCACTGACACCTAACCAACAATGACTGAACAGACATTTTGCCAACCTCACTGCTAATCAAACTGAAACTGAAAATTCAATGGATACAGCTGTTCTAGACACAACAGACTGAGTTTATAAGAATTATGGTTTAAAGCGCAAGCCTGAACTTTTTGTCTCCCCCATCTGGCAGTGAGAGTAATTGTACATTGTCAATGCATGTGAGCTCTGCAGGTGAGCTCACTGCATCTCCCCGCCCCCAGGAGCGCTGTCTTCAAGTTTGTTTATTTTTTACTCTAATTTTTCCTCTGATATATATATTTATATTTATCTGGCACATCCACACCAGAAGCTGCTTTTGGATGCTTCTATAGATTTGCTGCCATAAGTTCTGCCACACTCCTGCTGCCCTACCTTAGCTCTGTCTGGTTAATGTAAAATGTAGCCACGTGAAACAGCTACATGTTTTTGAGTTTCTGTTGTCAGACAACTAAACAAGCATAGTAAACAGTGATTTGATCTGAGCTGATTAATGCTACCTGTTGACCAACAGTAATTCCTGCACAGCTGCACTGAGATGTTGCTGTTTCACATTCACAAAGTTGTCTGACAAAACAAACTCAAATACGGGTTCATGAAAACAGCTGTAGTGTGTCATCAGCTACGATATATGGCTGCAGCTAACAACTATCGTCATAATTTAAATTAGTCTAACATTTATGATTAATCAGTGTCAGTGAACAATGCCCACTGTAATGTCACAGGCAGAGCCCGAGGTGACTTATTCAGATAGCTTGTTGCTTGTCCAACCAAAAGTCTTAAACTAAAAGACATTCAATTTAATGTCATATATGACAGAGAAATCAGAAAATGTTTAGCAACTTTGCTTGAAAAATTATCAATCAAGTATTAAAATAGTTCCTAACTCTTGTTTTTGAGATTGAATAAACGTTAACACGACTAATGATTGCAGCTCTATTAAAATGTAATTTAACATGAGTCATTACGCAGACGATGACAGGTGACACAATGGTGGCTGCTTAAGTGTACCCTACACAGTCATTTGGAGAGCTTTCCCGAAAAGCGATAAAGGGCCATTCATGGCTTTTTGATCCTAACAAACGGCAAAACATTCCAGGATAAACACAGAATTATTAGTTAGCTGTGGGCATAAAAATATCAAACTTAAGAGTGTTTCATACTGGCACAAGAGTTCCTATCTAAAGATAAAAAATATCTTTCCGTATCCGCCAGCCTCCCCTCCTCTTACTGAGGCCTTCATTCCAACTGCAGGAATGTTGTGAGGCCCATGTTGTCATGGATGCTCCAGCTCAGACAGCGGTGACAACTCTGCTCTGTCTTTGTAAATCCCTTCTATGTGGGAGGCCAGAAAGTCTTGAAAAATACCACAATTACACATTGACTCAGAGCTCTCTGTATCTCCTATATTCCCTTTATATTACCTTGTTTAGTAGTGCAAGAACCAGCTCTATGTCATTCTGACTCTGCTGGTCGGACAGGCAGCTCCGGACCTGCTTCAGTGACAGCAGCAGCTCCTCTAACTCTGCAAGAAAAACACAGGCACTCACATTAAGAACTTCTGACTCTGACATCCGTACCTACACAAGAGAAAAGACGGTAAAACTGCTCCAAATCAGAGATTACTTTATGATGATGGCAGAAGACAGTCTGCTTGACCTGGCTTCAGATTAATGTGTATGTGACAGACTGCATCTCATTTATTACTCAAGACTTCAGTTCCACATTGTGTGTACCTGTTTGTGTGTCAACATTACCACCCATAACAAAGTTTTAATTAAGTCGCCCTCAAGAGCCTCTCCCTCCCTGAGGAATTCCCTCCCTAACGGCAGACATGTCTTTCCTTACATTCCTTTCCCTCCAAGCCAGCTTTCTCTCACTCTCTCCATCTCTTTACTCCTTTTTCCTCTTCTTCATCCCTTCTTTTTTTGCAAATTTAAATGATCTTCAAAGTTTTTATGTCCCTTTCACCTCCATCTTTTTATTCTTTCCTTTCCCTCTGAGAGCTTTACTGCATCAATGATCAGCAATTCTACTCCCATCTGTGTGTGTGTGTGTGTGTGTGTGTGTGTGTGTGTCTTACCCAGCAGCGGATGTGTGTGCTGGCTGCTGAGTGCTGGCTGCTGCGGTGTGTATGAGTCTTGCAGGAATGTGGGGTTGTCGATGCCGACGTGGGGATGCTGGGAGAGCTTCCTGAGTCTGAGCGAGGCGTTCAGGTCCAGCTGCCGACCCTCCTCCTCTCTACGACGCCGAAGATCCTCCTGACACACATATGAACAAATAAATGTATCATAGATAGAAATACAACTGAACTAATGAATGGACCATTCGACTATTCAGAGACAAAAACTCGGATGACTCTGCATGATATGAACATGTACAGTAAGTTTTTCATGGAAAGGAGTAGTTTCAACGTATCCACTTAAAAATAAGCTGACTCTGGATCTGTACTTATTAACATGTGATTAGTTTAATAATTTGTCACTTCTAGCTGGTGGTAAATGAAGAATCCAGATCGCCCACAAACCATCTTAGACCCTGGCAAACAACAGTTATTTGTATTGTTGTTGATGAAACAGAATTGGCTGTCTTTTTACTGTTCATACAAGTCTAACAGAGTGAACAGTCTTTTTGTAAATATACCATCAGTCCACCTGATTAAAAGAAAGGGGCCCTGTGAGGACCTTAAAACCACCAACTACCCAAGTTTACTTTATAGAAAATATTTGACAATTCAAATTACCAGTGCAATGCTAACTGGAAAAATCAGATTTGTATACTACTACACAATATTTGTGTATTTATACATGTTCATTGTGTGAGACTAGGTGCAGTGACTTAGCCTGAAGACATGGCACACTGCTGGAGATGCACCAGCTCATCAGCTAAACATCAGTATCAGCACAATATAAAGCAGGGCTCGAGACTAACGGCCACAAACTTAAATTATGAGCAGGTACAAGAAGAATACAATGACTGTTTGGCAAATGGGCTCTGTGATCTCACTGTTGTGTCATGAGATGGTGAGTAGCTGCTGGCGTCCCCTCATCCTGGGTACAATAGAAAACGTGTTTGGGACAAACACAAATCTTCCCCAGGACGACTTTGGGACAAAAGGACGCAGTAAACTCACTATTGCTGCGTCAGAGGATGCTCCCTATTGTTTCCCTGATAATGCAAGATGGTGAACAGCGAATTTGCGTTAAAATCAGCCAGAGGAGGGCTGGTTAACATTAGCTTTAAGCAGCTGGTGGCCACAACTAACAGCTCACAGAGGTTGCTCTGAGTGACATTATGATGCGTTCAAGCTCTATTCAGTAATAATGAGTATTAGGCAAAAGTAAATTATGTTTTCATGACGTATTCAATGTAATCCTGTAAAATGTAGTTTATAGCGAGAAACTTTAATATATACAGCTGTTTGAAGGAGAAATTTGCCAATGTTTTCAAAGCAATTTAAAATAGATATTAGAGTGATAATTAAGATATATACTGTAAAAAGGTTTTTAAGCAGTTTTTTAAAAGATGGTTTTTATGTGAAAGGTTATATTAAAGGTTGTGTTATAAATCTGTATGACTGAAATAGTGCAGATGTCTGTGTTTCCCTGGCACAAAAGGGAGAATGAATAACAACAAAAACAAAACAAAATAAACAACAATACAAAAACATCGGAATAGACTATCGGCCAAATTGTTATTTTAAACATCAGTATCAGCATTAGTATCAGCCCAGAATTTCAAAATTGATGCATCCTTACACACTACATGCACCTGACCAATTATAGTCTGCCTTCTTTCATGAACAGGGGTGAGTTACCAAGGATGATTTCACAGGTGCTTTCACCATCTGACTGCAATGTTTGCATATGTGGAACCATGGAACCATCCACAGTCAAGTGGAGAGTTTTCAGACATACAGACAAATTCAAATATTCTCAACTGAGGTTGTGCTTGTCAATGTCGCATCTGGCCCAGACAGCCAATCAAATCAACAAAGAAGCTGGAAATCACTACTGATTTAATACCAGAGGTTCTGGTAGGAACAGTGGGACAAAGGCAAATGCAGATGAAGTGTTGCTATTAGCGATGTTTAACAACGATGATGGTCACCCCATTATTTAAATAATAATCGGCGAACACATGCATGGAGTTGCATAAACAGCCAGGTGGATCTTTCTGGTAAGGGTAATGCCACTTACTATGCTTATAAACAGACTAGCTAGGTAGTTAGCCATTGGACTGCGACAGCTCATCACACTATTAAGCCCGATGTGCTTTGATGCAGTTGTGCGCGTAGCAACACTTCTCCTGTGATCGGAACCTAAAGTGAGACTAATGTAGTATAATTGATATTTCACAGAAATAGGCATTTAGGAGGCTGGTGTGGGCACAAAGACGCTGCTGTGATTTGATGAGGGGAAATGTAGGATCCAGTTTGTCCTATATCAGGGACTAAAAGGCTCTACTGCAATGATTCTGACCATTGTTTGTTCTAAAAATGTGCCTTGTGAGTCTCCCAACTTCATGGAAGTGTAATACGAAATTGCTCTTTCTCTTTGCCATGTTTCCAATTCTTCATAGAAACATGACTCTTTGTGTCTCTATTGCTCAACATCATAGAACGGTGGTCAAGGTGGAGCTAATTTAAATTATATACAGTTTATCATACACTTATCATATGTTTTCTAAATTCCTAACCTGCAAAGTAACAAAGATAACGTACTTTACTCTGAAATCTAGCACACTGGAGGTTTAAAATAGCATTAAATGCAAATACTTAAGCACTTACACCTACAGTTTCACTTGAGTATAGCACCTGAGTAAATGTATTTGCTTACATTCCACCACTTCTGTTAGCTCTTGTGGAGTCGACTGGTGCAAAGATATGCAGAATATGCTGGCACTGGGTAGTGACTGTGACATAGCACACTGGTCTTTTATTTCTTCTCTGTTTTCACTTTGTTTTACACTTACTACAACACTTTAATCAGCTTTGGTTGTTATTAAATTCACTTTACAGATAAATGTGACTTGCATTTTTGTTGTAGCTTTAGTGTTGAGTAAAATAAGCACAAGTAACAAGTGTGTTTGTTTGTATGTGTATGTGTGTACATACCTGGTGATGTCGTATCCTCTCCAGCTGTGCAGATCGTCGGACCGGTAGCGTTCGACTCCCCAGGTCTCCCGGACAGTCCACAGCCATTTCTCGGTGCTGCTGTCCTCCCCTCAGCTCTTCATCTCCTCCTCCTCCTCCTCCCTCCCCAGCAACATGGCCGTTCAGATGGGAGGTTGTCATCCCTCACACACACACCACGAGTCAAAGTGGGTGTGTTTGTGTGAGTTGCAGAGATTTTAGGGTACGTGTATATATAAAGCAAGTCTAGGAGGGCAGCTCAGTAAACATGCCAGCCATGACAACTTCACCTGAGGAGATAACAGAAAACCGATGTCATTAATTAAGTTGGCGACATTCTGCATCCCAACATTCCTCCAACATGGATTTGGATAACAAGAGGAGGTGTCCTTATACCATTCAGCATTGAAGCTGACACTATCAGACCCAGGTCTCATGTGACTATCAGGTATCTATTTACCTGCTATCAACAGTCAGGTATGACTGGTCAAACACAGGATGAATGAGTGTTCAGTGTGCCACAACAAACATGGTTTGTGGCTTTAACACGTAATGATCAACAAACCAGTGCCGGACCACAAAACTGACTGGGGGACTGACCGATCTCTTCATGCTACGTAACTACTGTACCACAACTTACTAACTGGTTACTGATAGGAAGACTTAAATCAGAATTCCTCTCTATTAAAATTTGGGTCTTAATTTTGTAATTCTGGCCATTGTTTCTGTAATTATGATAACAATGAACCCAATAAAATAATTGCCAAGATTTGGGAACATTCAATGATCAGACAGGTTGTAAACAAGATGACAGTTAAGCCTGATGATTTAAACCACTTTATTGGGAGGTAAAACTTTCTCAGCAATTACCTTTGTGAATATAACTTTGTTATTGCCAACAGGAAAAATACAAAATGACAAAAAGTTGGCAGAACCAGCTGAAAGAAGGCCTTTTTTACAGCATACATTTGGACTTGTCATAGTAGTAAAAGCACAGGCGTTACTACTAACATTAACAATCAAGTGTCTTAGTAAACCCTAACAGTGAGCCAGCTATACAGTATGAAATGGAATTTGGCCATTCATTTATTTATTTATTTTACTTTACTTACACCTGCTTTTCTACTATGCCGTGTCAAAAGGAGGATTATAGCACCCAAAAACTTTTTTTTTTTTTTTTTTTTCAAAAAGTGTTTCTCTGAAATATTAAATATTTTTGACGAGATAAACAACAAACAAAGTTTACGGCCCTGTCCAAATACCCGCACTTGCGCCCTGAGGTCTTCCCTGAAGTGCACTTGCCAAAAGTGCAGTTAGGGGCGTAAGTGCGCAAGGGATCGATGCTGTTTAAAAAGGAGAATTGGGACAGTTGCGTACGTACACGTCACTTCCGTTTGGGTCCAGCTGGTCCGTCTCCTAAGAGACGAAACATGGCGTTAGAGGAAATAACGTTGTTCGCAGCACTGCTGCTGCAAATGATAAATAGATACAATCAGCGAATGATGAGGAGGATTAGGAGCCGCAAGAGAAGGCGGCATCTACATCAGATCCAAGTACTGATGCTGATACCCAACCAACAAGTAAATTAAATTAAATTTTACTCTTGAATTTACCTGTTAATAATGTGTATATTAGCTGTAACATCTTTTTTTACTCTACCGTTAACGTAGCCTAGATTACCGTTATTCCTATTAAAACGTTTTTTTGCTTGGATAAATTGTGGTAAATTGTGATATAAAATAAACTATAAAGACATATGGTAATAAAATAATAATAATTAAAGACACAATCAAAACTGTAAAGTGATGTGGACTGTCATACAAACCTCCAATCAACTGTAAACAGTATATTATTTCATTATTAACGCCCTGTCATGTATTATTAAGTCCACACAGCGTGTTGTTAGACGTTATGTTCCTCTAACGGTTGTTGTCAGTAGGAGTTAACGGAACGAGGACACGTCAGTTACCGTTTGAAGATGGTGAGTTGTACCGGCCAGCTGTGCAGTGTTAAAGCATCACGACACTATGGAGGATTCTGGGTAAAATCCTTCAGCGAAGTGAGGTCTGATGCGCACTTTCGGAAGGGGTGCATTAGGGGCGCAGGTTTGCACCCCTTGATAACAACAGAAGACAATGTGGACACCCTACGCACTTGCGCCCCTTAGCGGGAGCGCGCAATTAAGGGGCACAAGGGCGCAAATGCGGGTATTTGGACAGGGCCTAAGTTTGGACAGAAACAGTGACACACTGCTAATCTGCCCTATCAGGACTGTGTTGCTGTGGTTTGATCAGATCTGATTGGCAGTGGCTTGGAAACAGAAGTAAACAACCACACAGGTGTCATCACATTGTAATTCAAGAGTTCAGAGCCCACTGGTCAGGTGATAAGACCTGGACAAATTGGGTTTCTGATACAGATCAGGTAAAAACAGACATCTCTCTCTTTTGTCAAACACAGCCCCACACTATTTAAAATCTATCAGGAGAGTAAACAGAAAAATATAGTAAACAGTAAATAGGCCTACAGAATTTTGCTCATGTAAAAACAGTTCTAACTTTGGCCGCTTTGGTTTTTTTTTGGACCTACTCCGGAGAAGGTCCATGAACTAATAATGGAAATGCAAACCGGCATGGCTTGACTTGGCATGGCCAAAAGTGACAGTGAAAAAGGCCCATAATATGGCCAAAACTATAAAAATAATGTCCAAGTTGTAATGAAACAGAAATATCCTTTAATGACTGCCAAACAGGTGGACTGACACCTTACTAGTTTATTGGTCGAGCAAGTGACTGATTTACTGAGTGTCCTAACTGGTTTACCTGCTGCTTTATGAGCTGACTGACTGACTGCTGGTTCACAACCTGACTTAGTGCTAAATGAACAACTGGTTTACCAGCTGACAGTACATTGTGGAATATGATGGGCTGTGTTAGGCTGACTAACTGGTACACTGACTAACAGACTAGCTTAACACAGTTTATGACACAGTCAGTTTCTCTCTCTCTCTGCATCTTGGTCATTTCTACCTCTCTCTCTTAAGTAGTTCAGAGACAACAACGTCATTACAACCCCCCACTCTCCACACATAACCATGACAACGGCTTTGTCAGCAGCCGGGTGGTCCCCCCGCCACACAAACCTACACACACATACTAAAGGAACTGAGTACTATGTAGGGAGATGGTGGGAGGGAAGATTGGATGGATGAGAAAACAGAGAGAGGGACAAGAGAGGGCAAGCAAGGTAGACATTATTAGATGAAGGGAGGGAGAGAGAGGGAGAGAGAGGGGGAGAGAGAGAGAAGGGGGGGGGGGGGGGGGGGGGGAAAAAAAAAAGGGGGGGGGGGGGGGGGGGGGGGGGGGGGGGGGGGGGGAGGGAGGGGGGGGGGGGGGGGGTAGGGGGGAGGCAGAGGTAAAAATAAACAGGTGAGATGGATGGATGCCTTATCTTTCAGTGCCACAATAACAACAGCATGTTGATATGCTATCTCTTACCAGCAGGACTGTAAACACACACACACACACACACACACACACACACACACACACACCGGTCCCATGATGCAGCAGTGAGGAATGCCAGGCAGCCCTGGGAACAAAATTCCACTGATGGGGGAGGGGAGTGTGTGTATATATGCCATGGATGTATTACAGAACTGGATATGGTGCCGCAGCTCAGCCGTACTTCCAATTTTCCCCAGTGGCCACTTGCAGTAGTGCAACTAAAAATTCTCAGCGGCCCAAATAGCATTTTCCCCATAGACCACCACGGTAAAAGAGACGTCTGTGAAACTGTTGACAGGACGCTTCCAGCTGTAAACATGGTTAATTATTACTCATTGTGTTGAATGTTTAAGAGCTGTGGCAGTTTAATCTTTGTAAAACTTATCCAAAGCCCAGAAAAGTAATTATTTTTGTGAATGAGGCTGTGCTGTGTATGACCACGTTAAATTTACTGGTCATGTGTTAACCTTTGTTCTGGAACTTAATTGTTTTGTTTATCTATATATTAGCCACGTAATGACTGGATTCGCTGATTAAACACTGAAGGTGATCTTGTTCCATGGTTATGATTTTTCACTTTTCTTCCGGATACTTTAATTTGGTTAGTCATTTAACTTTTATGGGATATATTATGTGATCTGTGCGATATGGAAAGTGGTTCGCTCATTCACGTGGCCCGTCTGGGCCACAGGCATGATGGGATTAACACTACTGTGCATATTCAGCAGACCACTAAACCCCAGAGGTAACCCAGAAGTTAGAAACTTGTTTAGTGTATGTGCCAGGTGAGCAATTCTCATTAGACTGGAAAGGCACCGTCTTTGGGTCCAGTTCTAAATAATTCATCCATGATATACACCTACTGGTCAGACTGAGACATCAAAACTCACTGTTTACATTCTCAACATCTCTGTTCTGATCACCTTGAAGCCAAATTCTGACATGTGACTGCATGTGTTGTGTTGTTTTTGAATTAATCAGTGCAATAGTTACAAAAAAGATATTTCAGTACTTTTGCATATTTTTCAAAAATATCAATCATTTCATTTTCCATGTGCAACATTTTGCATTTTTTCTCTTTTTACATCAAAGAGCTCTGACTTAGCAGATGTTTATTTTACACAAATGCCTCAAACTTGATAATGTACTGCAACCATGATTTTATCAGATACATCCTGGACAGCATGACTTGTACTGAACTTGACAGATTGGTGTTATCGCACAGCGTATAGGGGCCTTAGAATGCCAGTGAAAAAAATAAGCAAGGGTTCAGCATGTTAAACTATTATCTGCCTGCCATTTGCCATTTTCATCCTTTCCATTATAAGCATAAATCAACAGTGTCAAATACCAGTATAAACAACAAGTTAATCCACATCCTTGTTTTCTGGTGCGGAAGCTTCCTCTAGATGCCTCTGTTTCAGCAGACAAATATGTGTATCCTAAATCACTGAACAATCCTCCGGAAATTCATATTGGAGTCATTTTACTTTTATATTGCTTTCAGCACAAAGGCTGGAATATTGGCCTTTTATTAAAAATGGGACTTAGTTCAGTTCATTCACTTCGCTTTTGCTCAGCATGCAGTTTCTCTGATTATCTCTGTGCATGATCAATTATCAGTGCTACTTTTTTTAAAAGCTTATTTATATCTTCACTCTTGGATCCAAAGAAGTTTATTCTTCTGTAATCCAACTTTCCAATCCAAAAGGATTTTTAATAATGAAAAAAAAAAAGCAAACAAACAAATTAACAAAAAATAAAAACCCAACAAACCCAGATTA